AAAAGCACACCTCTCTATGCTCACACGTAGCTGGCAGAGTGTGAGCAAGGCAGTTTGTGGTGTATAGTTAGGATGTGATATTCTTCTGTTGCTTAAGGTGATCCTGTGTCATTTACTTGCATCTAAGATGCTTTGCATCTTAAGCACAGGGTGGTTTTAGCTTCTGTTCTAGGCACACTAGACAGATGTCTCATAGGGAATCCTTGGTCAGCGATAATTATCATGAACAAAGGGGACTTTAGGTTGGAGTATTATGTTCTCACCTCATCTATAAATAAAAATGCAAGGAAATGAGCATTTTTATTTTTATTGATTTTGGTACTTACATACTTTTTCTCTGTGTGTTTTATCTGTTTGTGCAGTATTAAGACTTGATCTTAAAGCCACCATTTGGGTCACAGTCCCTCTTCTGCCATCTTGGTGGTTAATTGGAATTAACATTCTCATAAATATATTTCTGCCTGGTCTGGCATTAAATCATGATTCTCGGTTCTCAGTCTATTCAGTTGCTAGGATTACTGGTTTACCAACCTTCAATTGAAATGATTATTTTTTTTATCTAAAGAATGAAGTTCAGCCTTTTTTTGTTTTTTTCTGCTCTTACTTTAGAACTTGAAGTCATCTTTATTCAAAGTAGCATGAATGAGCTTACAGGTTGTACAGTAGTTATTGGGGTATGATAGCATACCCTCTACACTTACATGAATAGGGTGGATCTGACCAGCTATTCCAATTGGAATTTTATCCAATTTGGGGCATTGCTTATTTCCAAGCATAGTGTCCTTCCAATGTTTATTTAAATTATACTTCTTTCTTTTATAATTTATCATTGTAAAGATACTGTAAAAGAGGGGTTACAGTTACATGAGTAAGGTAATGAGTACATTTCCTATCACACATTCTACTTCTATGTCCCATTTGTTCCTTAGTGTTTTCAAACTGCTTTACTGAAGGCAACAGAGACTAATTTTGTGGTGTTTGTTCAGCATCTACCTCTTTTCAATGCACTGTCATAAACATCAGTGGTGTTGACTATGTCTTTGATGATCAGATTGCTTATTCACGGTGAAGTAACTTTCTCAGGTCCATCCTGATATGAGTTGTTATTTTTTTCTGTCCAATGCTCCTCCCTTTTTTGTTCTTTTTTACTATCATGCTCATGTTCAATAACTTTAATTTCAATCCCTATGCCATTGTCTTCTCTTGTTATTGGTGGTGTTATAGTCTTGTACTAGTAAACTTAAATTCATTCCTATTGCATTTCCACATATTTTGTGCCTTGATATTGTCATTGTTATAAAGTTTCTATTTTTCTTCTCTGAAGAGTACTAGGGAATGAGACTTCAAGAGGAGGCTGCTTGCCTAATGATTGTTAAGTAAAACTGAAAAAAATAAATCCAAGCCAATGTATGCACCAATCATAATATATAGCAAAGCAATTAAAAATGCAAAACAGAACTGGGCAACATGACTCTTCCTAATGCTCATTCATCCAAAGACACTGAAATAATGGCAATACAGAACAAAATATTTAAGACTTATACTAAAATAATCAAGGATCTAAAAGATGATTCACATGGAAAGAACAATAAAGTAATTAATTCCTTTAAAATATGGATGAGAGGTCAGTGGCTTGGATACTAAACAACAGTGTTTGATTCTGGAAAAGGAAACAGTGCTGAAATTTCTGGAAATATAAAGTATACATACCAACTAAAAACTCAGTGGGAAGTATCACCAACAAACTAGAGATCCTAAAAGAAAAAAAAACCCATATAACAGATTGGAACCAAGTTGAAAACTTATCACATTTGAAGGGCAATAAAAAAATACAACCATGACAGATGAACTATTTTTTTTGTAAGTTTTAGTGTGAAAATACCATACAGAAGGGTTACAATTACATGGGCAAGGTAATGAGTACATTTCTTATCAAGCATTGTTGTCTCCTCCTTTGTTTCCCCTTCCCATCCCTTCCCATCTCCCCACACCCCACACCAAAGTTGTAAAGTTCATTTTTCAACATAATGTCTTGTACAACTCACTGTTGCAATGGGTCCACCTGTATCCCTATTTAACAATTTGTTTTTTTCCCTTCCCCTCCACAAATTATAACAATATCAAATACAGAGAAAACAGAGGTTATGCCATGGGGGAGTGACATACAAAGCAACAAAGAAATCATCTTATAAATATGTTAGAAACAATAGCAAGAAAAAAAGCATTTGAATCCTTATCTTGGGGTTCATTTCACCTAACATCAACTTATATGATCATTTCTGCTTGACTCAGACATATACTAGTTATTACAAATAAGGGAAACCATGGGACTTAATGTTTCTTTGGGCCTCGCTTACTTCACTTAATATAATTTTTTCCAAGTCTTTCCATTTCCTAACAAATGGGGCAATGTCATTCTTTCTGATGGAAGCATAGAATTCCATTGTGTATATATACCCCATTTTCTTGATCCATTCATCTACTGAGGGGCATCTGGGTTGATTCCATATCTTAGCTATGGTAAATAATGCTGCAATAAACATAGTTGTGCTGGTAGCTTTAGTGTGGTCTTGTTTGTGATCATTTGGGTAAATGCTCAAAAGTGGGATTGCTGGGTCATAGGGGAGCTCTATGTAGAATCTTTGGAGGAACCTCCATACTGCTTTCCAAAGTGGTTGAACTAGTTTACACTCCCACCAACATGAAGTAAGGTTCCCTACTGTCCACATCCCCTCCAGCATCTGTTTTTATTAGAGTTCTTGATTATAGCCATTCTAACTGGGGTGAGGTGGTATCCCAATGTTGTTTGGATTCACATTTCTTTTATGGCTAGGGAGGTTGAGAATTTCTTCATGTGTCTATTAATAAGGGAGTTATAAAAATAGAATGGAAGAAAGACAGCCTTTTCAGTAAATGGTGCTGGCAAAATTGGTTAATCACTTGTAGAAAACTAAAGCTAGATCCTTATATATCACCCTACACCAGAATCAACTCCAAATGGATCAAAGACCTCAGAGTCAAAGCAGACACTCTGAAAACATTACAGGATGGAATAGGAGAAACCCTAGGTCTCCTTGGCACAGGCCGAAATTTTCTTAAAAGAGACCCAGAAACACAACAAATCAAAGCAAGGTTGGACAAATGGGATTGCATGAAATTGCAGAGCTTCTACATGGCAAAGGACATAGCTAGCAAGATCAATAGAAAGCCCATGGACTGGGTGAAGATCTTCACTAGCCATACAACGGACAAGGGTCTCGTATCTAAAATATACCTGGAACTCAAAAAATTAAATCCCCCAACAACAAATCCTCAAAGAAACTACTGCCCAATAAATAAGTGGGCTAAAGACTTAAAGAGAAACTTCTCTGAGGAGGACAGGTGAACTATTAACTCAATATTCTATCTACTTTTTCAAATAGGAAATTACCTGAAGAAATATGATGTAAAATTTTCCCTTTGAGGATCTATGATCAGCCAATCTTTTAGACGCCACCTGCCACATATCCCACACACACTTCAGTATATTTTCCATCTCGTCCTTTAGTCTTGAAGCTATTCTTTCATTATTTTTGGTTTAGACAAGCAGGAATTCTTCTTCTTTTTTTTGGGCGGGGGAGAGGTCCGGTCGTGGGGCCTGAACTCTGGGCCTGGGCACTGTCCCTCAGTTCTTCAGCTCAAGACTAGCGCTCTAACGCTTGAGCCACAGCGCCACTTCCAGCTTTTCTCTTTTTGCTTATGTGGTACTGAGGAATCGAACCCAGGGCCTCAGGCATGCAAGGCAAGCGCTCTACCACTGAGCCACCTTCCCAGCCCCAATCAGGAATTCTTCTAAGCCAACCTTTTCCTCTGCACTGAGACTAATTATCTTGTGCATATATCACAATTAAAACATTATTAAAAGTAACTTCTGAGCCTCAATACAAAGAAAAGTTGTATACCACTTTTGTTTGTGGAAAATCTCTTGAGAAGTAGTTGGGCCCTAGAAAATAAGAGTACTTAGCACTTAGGTAGGAGCTACCTAACCATTAGACGGTAACAGAGTACAGAGCTGAGAGTTCTGTCCAGTAGAAAAGATGGCCCAGTCATCTTGGTCATTGTACCAGAAGTTATATGATCCCCACATTGGCATTTTGACATGTTTGCTGCATCATTTTATCCATTTTCCAGACAGCATGTCATCTCTGATGCAATTATTGTAATTTGAGGAGAGCTTTTCCCACTTTGCTCAGAATTCTCTAGAATATTCACTCCTTTCCTTCTTTCACAGAGTCATACTGAAATAAACAATTATGACCACAAGCATTAAATTACACTCAGATTTTCTTTCTAGCAGGGAAGTGAATTGTGAGGACAAATGTGTAAGTTCTTAACCAAAGCAAATTGGATCTCTCTATGACCATTTTGCTACACTGCATTTGGAGAGAGCATAGGCTGTGACATAGGCACCTGCTGCTTCTTCCCTTTGTATCACCCTTCTAGTGACACTGGAACATCAACAATAATGTTCCCAGAATGAGCAGATTTCCATGAACTGCCATGTACTCTGTTTTTCTTCTTCAGTGATCTCCTATGGGATCATCCACACTGGATCTGCTGCCTTTGGACTTTGTGGGATTCTATAATGTCAGCTGGATTTTAGGGAGGAAGAAGCTGTAGGTTGCAATTATTTTTTACCATTTCTACACCTGCCCCTATGGACTGATGTTCTGAAACACAGTTCTACAATGTAACAGATTTCAGTCCCTCTGCTTTTCCCTCTGGGAGTCACATGATAGCTGTTCAAATGGCTGATATTCATTGATGTCAAGCAATCTTTGTAGCTTTTTATGTCTCAACCTGGCCTGCTACTGCATGGCTCTCTCGTCTTTTATTTTATTCTAAAATTTCCATATAATCAGCTTCTTCCAAGAATCAAGGAACCTGGACAATGACATCATGCTGATCAAGCTGTCCTCCCCAGTGTCCCTCAACTCCCAAGTGGCCCCTGTGGCTCTGCCCACCTCCTGCACCTGCTGGCACCCAGTGCCTCATCTCTGGCTGGGGCAACACCCTGAGCTTTGGTGGTGAGCACAGCCCTTCATGTGTCCACATGCTTCTGTCCTCATGTCTTCCAGAACCTAGCATGTCTCTAACTTGGAACCTACTTGATTCCAGTCTGCAGATAGATTGCAAGGCCTGTTATACACAAGGCTCCTTGGGCACCTGAGAGACACATGCAGTAGCAAGGGATTTGACAGCTACACTCTTGACAGAACTCATATAGAGTTGCTACTATTAATTCTTGAAATAAGAATTGGAGAACATCATTTTAGGAACTCAAACCAAGGCTCCACATTGCTACTGAAGATCCTAGTAACTCCCCACCATATTCAACTGGAGGATTGGGCCCACGCTTGTCTCACATTTTGGCATTTCTCCTCTTTTTTTTTCTTTTTCTTATCATCGTGTGTCCTTCAAAGTGAACAACCCAGATGAGCTGCAGTGCCTGGATGCCCCCCTGCTGAGCCAGAGTGTGTGTGAAGCCGCCTACCCTGGGAAGGTCACCAAGAACATGGTGTGTGCTGGCTTCATCGAGGGAGGCAAGGACTCCTGCCAGGTGACTCAGTCCCTTCCCCATCACAACCACACCTGACCATACTCAGCCCCTCCCTCTGCAATGCTGAATGGCTACAGCGCCATGCAGGACTCCATTGACAAGTGAGCAAGGCCTATTTGACTGCATGTCCTCTTCATAGTAAGAGCACAGAATGGGCCTCCATGAGAGAGCTATAAGCTATACAGGATGAGGTATTAAGATCTGAGTGTGAGTTGCTCCATTACTCTTCATGTTCTCATGCAACTTGTTCCTCTCCCCAGGGTGACTCTGGTGGCCCTGTGGTGTGCAATGGAGAGCTCCAGGGAATTGTCTCCTGGGGCTATGGCTGTGCCCTGAAGGACAATCCTGGAGTGTACACCAGAGTGTGCAACTACGTGGACTGGATCCAGGCCACCATCGCTGCCAACTGAAAACCCTCCAGCCCTCTGCAGTCACTATGCCAATAAAGTAAACCTGTGCTCACTGTCGATATCTGTGCCTTCTCTGTCCAATCCCTTTGTCCAGGAAAACATCCTGAATGAGTTCTGGTGGAGAGAGATGAGAAGAGACACTTGGTTCCCAAAATATGTCCCCTAAGAGCAGATTAATGGATGGCATCCAAAAAATAATAATAAGGGAGAAATAAATATTCTATCAAGAAGGGTTTCTTTCACAAATGTGATGTTGAAGAATATTCTCAATGTTGGTAATTCCGTGCTCTGTGTGGTTGGTGAGACCATTGCTTTCTCTGAATATAGTAGGAATTTCTTGGTTCATAGAGCAACATATTTAGGGAACAATAAGAGTCAACTTCCTTGGATTTTTTAATCTATTCTGCATTTATTCTTGTGAACCTAGGTGCCTTCCCTCCTAGCAGCAGGTATTCTACTAAACAAAGTCATACTAGCCATTTCTCTCAACTGCATTGTCATGTGTCCAGAGTTGGATGTGGCCAGCAACTCCTGCCATCCTGCTCCTGATCCATCTGCCTTCACTCAGTCTCCCATAATGTCAGTCTGTGTGCTCCTTCCTCTGTGATATGTGGATATGTTTTCACATAATTCACTCTCCACCCTTGAGGTATTCATTATTACAATGATACAGATAGGAAGCATAGATGAAGAGAAAATTAGCTTATACCCAGAAGACAATAGATATGAGAATTGTCTCCCTCCTTCTCTGCATGTACGATTAGCATTTTATGTTTTCATGACAGCTAATGAATTTGTTTTGAAGTTAGATATTTACATATTGCATATTGTATATATAATTATGTTCTCTATTTGTTTACTTATTTTTTGCCTCCAACCAGTGGTCAGCTTTACCAGTGTGTACATGTATACTTAGACACTCATAAATGCCATGAAAGCAATGATCTGTTCTATCCTCTGAGTTTCTGTTCCCTTACCGCTTAGAGACTCATGACTGCCACCATTATTTTTGTAGATAACTTCCTGTGAGTTCCTCACTCTGACTCAGAAGAGGAAATTTGGAGGGAGACTGCAAGATGATATCTTACAAATCCCCAGCCCTCATTGTCTTCTCTGGGCATCAATGCTCAGAGAAGAATCAATGCGTCAGGAACACAACTACCACTGGTGAAAAATAGAGAGGGTAGTTGTCAGCAATGAGAGACTTATAAAAGTTGAAGAAACTTTATAGAGCCAAGGAGGGAAAATGAATGTTCCAGCACTGACCGTGGGATTGTAACAGTGAAGAATATTGGAATAGAGACCAAAAATAGAAGGGTTTAGAAACTCCAGTCATAGCACAGACCTTAGCACCATGCACAAGTGCAGACTAAACATCCAGGAGACCTAGAATCATATTACAAGCTGACTCTGGCCAAGTTCTCTCTTTTTCACAACTGGAATTGGGGTGTGCTATTGTCTGAGCTATTTTAGAGTCTGAGCTCGTGGTATTATCCTTTGTCTAGTCATTCCAGCCCAGCAAAGCCATACTGAGATCAGGAAATGGCCTGGACAGCCAGGCTCAGTAGGGACCAAGACTAAAGCCCTGAGAGCTCCCTGTGCTGGGAGGCCATGCTGGGAATCTGTAAGGACAGTGGTCCTCTACCATCCAGGACCACAAACTGGGAAAGCAGTGGAAGAAGTGGAATGAGCACTTCAGATCTGTGCAGATCTTGAGCCACACTTCAGGCTTTTTGGTGGTATATTGGAGAGAAGTCTTACAGACTTTGTGGCTCAAGTGTTAGTCTATTAGCCTTGAGCAAAACAAAGAAAATCCAGGCCCTGAATTCAGGCTCAGGGTGGTCTGTTAAACAAAGCAGACCTTAATCCAGAGCACAATTACAGGGGCTGTGACTTAAACACACTTTCATCAGCAAAACTTGTTTATTGTTTAAATTTGGGGGTGAGTTCACATCCAGTCTTCATATTCTCCACAACTGCCTCTTGGGACAGACATTGAAACACTGCAGTGAAGGAAGCTCAGGCTTCTTGATAGGACATTGCCCCTTGTTTTCAGTTCCTCAGAGTAACTCAGCCTCAAATTACATGATCTTGCTCCAGGGAGCACAAGGCTAAAGCCTTCTAAGACATGGGCAGCCGTTGACTGGAGTTCTTCTCCAATGCCAGCCTACTGAGCAAGAAGAATCATTGCAACCCCAAGTCTGTCCACAGATTGAAGGCCTGGAAGAAACAGGAGTTTGTCTTAAAACTAGAACAGACCATCCAGTATTCCAGGGCTGCTGGATGCATGTTCAACTTGTGGCCTCAGCTTCACTTTCCTGCCTTACCTCAAAGAAATCATAGGTGGGGTTTGGATACTGTCCTGCTATTCTGTGCTCACCTTTCTGTTGCTCCATGCTCTTAAGCTGTTCTGCCATCTTTTCCTAGATTCCCAATGTTCTTTCTCTCCTCCCTTCTTTCCTTTCTCCTCACAGTATCCTCTGTTCTGTTACAGTAGCTTTTTCAATTATAAAGTAATAGAGAGGAAACAGTCTTCTTTCAAATACTGAGAGACTGAAAAGGTTTCTGTGTGTGGCAAGAGTATAGAAATTAACATGTTTTCAGGGTGAGGACTTGCCATCATTTCTGTATTGCTTAACCAACTGATCATAGAGAAGTCACTGAACTTCCCCAGATTTAGATTCTTCAGCTGTGAAAGTGGACAACCACCTCACCTAAGGTGACATAACAGAATATCACCTTTTATTCACATAGCACAGGCTGACATTCCCACACGCCTCCCATAACCTGTCAGCTCAAAGAAGCTTGTCCTGAAGTAGAGACGGGCCAGATGCTTCACAGATTATGGGAAGTTAAGGTTCTGCCACAAGGTGCTAAGTGAAATATTAATTGAATATTCTATTGTGGCATTGAATCAAATGCCAGCAAAAATCCAGGTGTATACTTTACCTTCTGGTGATCTCTGGCTTGAGGCCCAGGAAACCCTTGAGGCCACCTGCACCAAATCTCTTGTCTTTGGGTAAACTTGATATTTTAACCATTTTTCAATAAATTCTCTAGCAAGAAAAAATGCTTCTGAATCTTAGTTTTTCAAACCGAGGTACTTTGCAGGTTAAAATATTTCACCTGTGAAAAGGAGACAATGGTATCTCGAACACACACCTTGGTGAGTATCAATGATGAGTATCAGATGAGAGGAAGAGAGGCATGATTTTCTTTTTAAAACTATTTTATTTCATGGTAAAGGTGCTGTACAGAGGGGTTACAGTTACATAGGTAAAGTAATGAATACATTTCTTGTCGAACATTGTTACCCACTCCTTTGTTATTCTTCCACTATCCCTTTCCTCCCACTTCTCCCTCCCTACCCAAGTTGTAAAGTTCATTTCCAACATAGTGTCTTGTGAGTATCATTGTTGCATCGGGTCTGCCTTTGTCCTTGTTTCACCATTTTGCTATTCCCTTTCCCTTCCCCAAATCAGATAGACGTATATACAAGATACAGGGTACTAGAATCAAAGACAGTGATTTCTAAGGATAAACCAAAGTGAAGAAGAAAAATGGAATAAAATAAAAAGAAATAACTTGATATAGTACATTGACTAAAACAAGGCCAACAACCAAAAACAGACCTGTTGTTTCCATGTCATTTCGATTAGCATCATTTTGTATGGCCCTATGTACATGGCTAATGAGCTATTGTGATCCTCTGCTAGGACTATCCTAGACATATGCTAATTATTACCAATAGGGAAACCATGGAGCCTGTGTTTCTTTGGGTCTGGCTTACTTCATTAATATGACTTTTTCCCAAGTCTTTCCATTTCCTTACAAATGGGCAATGCCATTCTTTCTAGGTATATTTTTGATATGAGGCCCTTGTTTGTTGTACAGCTAGTGAAGCTCTTCTCTCAATCTGTGTACTTTCTATTTATTTTGCTAACTATGTTTTTGACATAGCTCTGCACTTTAATGCACTCCCATTTATCCAGGCTTTCTTGGATTTGTTGTGTTTCTGGATCTCTATTTAGGAAGTTTCAATCTGTGCCACAGAGCCCTAGCATATCCCCTATGCCTTCCTGTAATATTTTCATGATCTTTGCTCTTACTTCAATGTCCTTGATTCATTTGTAGTTTATTCTGATGCAGGGTGATATATTAGGACCTAACTTCAATTTTCTACATGTGTATAGCCACTTCTAGCACCATTCTTTCTTCCATCTGATGATTTTAGCTCCTTTATCGAAGATTAGATGGCCATTTGTCTGTGGGATCATGTCTGGGTCTTCAAGACTATTCCATTGGTCCTAGGCCTGAGCATGGAGGCACAGTTTTTGATGTTAAAATGTGCAGGTCTAAAACTGGAATTGCTTGAATCTACTTCATTCATTCATATCTGGATGGAATTGAGCAAGCTCTTCACCACAAATAAGCAATCTGTTCATCTAAGAAGGCGGCTACACCACTGATGTTTGTGACAATGGGATGAAAAGAGGTAGATGTGGTCTGATGCCAGGAGTGGTCGTGAACCAACACCACAAAATTAATTTCTGTTGCCTTAATTAAAACAGTTTGAAACTGCTAAGGAACAAATGGGACACAGAGTATGACGTAAATAAGACTTCAAAGGACACTCTTCTTGGGAATAAATAATGCCCCAAATAAGATAAAATTCCAATTAGAATAGCTGCCCAGAACCACCCTATTTACCTAAGTTTAGAAAGAGTACTCTCAGACCACAGTAACTACTGTACAGCCTGTAAACTCATTCATGTTCCCTTGAAGAAAGCTTATCCCAAGTTTTAAATAAGGGCAGAACAAACTAAAATGGCTGGACTTCACTCTTTGGATTAAAAAATAATAATCATTTCTCCTGGGTGTTGGTGGTTAACAATTGTAATCCTGGCTACTCAGTAGACTGAGATCTGAGGATCATGATTCAATGCCAGACCAGGCAGAAAAATCTGTGAGAAGGCTATTTCCAATTAGCCACCAAAATAACAGAAGAGGGGATGTGATGCAAGTGGTATCCCTAAGTTCAAGTCC